TCGATATTTTTTAAAATGTGTCAGCCGCAAGATAATTCTTTTCACGGATAAAAAACGGATAATTTACGGCCAATTATCAGATAATTAGTTGAGTTTAGCTGGTTTCCTTCATTGGTTTTCAGAAGGTGCCCTGCTAACTTCCACGGAAGTTAGCAGGGCACTCGATATTTTTTAAAATATGTCCGCGGCAAAATTATTCTTTTCACGGATAATTTACGGATAATTAACGGCAAATTATGCGATAGGAATTTTTGCTTTGAGAAAAAGTTGTCCTGCCAAGTTCAGAGAGGTGCGACTGATGGGGATGCGCGAGCAAAATGACTTTGATACCTATGTACACCTGCGTTCAACTAATTAGCACCGAAGTTCAAAAAGTTACTGTTCGCAGCTTACGTTTATTTATTTAGTTTTAATAATTTTCATCTAAAATATAATTCAATATATAACAGAAACCACGCAAACAACCGTTTCAAAGCTTGCACAAGTTAAAAAAAAATTAATCAACCTTGGAAAAATTTAATATTTAGAAAACTTTTGGATAATGCCTTTTTGTAGCCCATTCAATTTTAGTCTGATAAAGTGCAAATTTCAAGTCGCTAAAAATTACCGCTGATGTACATACATATATGTCTCTATTGTTTACTTTGCGACAGCTGATTTCGAATCATCAAAGTGCAGCATTCGGGGTTGGCAACGGTATTTTCGAGTTGATTCAGTGAAAGCCCTGACAATTTTTTAAATACGTAGTGAATGTTGCCCTATGGACGGACAACTTCTGAAATACTTCGCCGAACTAAGCGGTGTTAGATCGCCGAAACAACAGCCCTTGGTCGGGTAAAGCCCGAGTCATTCCGGTACGTAGAACCTCTGGACCCGACAGCGTACCGACAGGCCCTGAACGGCATTCACAGGGACTCAGTCTCGAGTTATGTAGACTCCAGACCTGTGAATGCCGTTCTAGGCATACCACCCCCGGACATAGACGAGACGGAGCTTCATCTGCCTCGGGAGACACGCACAACACTTGCACAACTTCGCTCCGGCTACTGCAGCAGGTTGAACTCCTACCTGAGTAGGCTGTGCCGAATGAGTGTCGGGCATGCGGAGAGACCCCACATGACTCGAAACACCTCTTCGCATGCCCGGAAAACCCGACAACCCTAACGGCCTTGTCCCTGTGGACAAACCCCACAGAAGCTGCACGCTTCCTAGGGTTGCCGTTAGTGGAACTTGACGACAACGACTGAGATACCAACCGTCCTGGGCGGGGTTGTTGTAGCCGCTACAACAACAACAACAACAACAACAACAATTTTTTAAATAGCTTGTTTATGGGAAATGCCTCATAAAACGGCAAAAAGGAAAAATGGTATGTTTATTAGGGTGTTCACAGCTCGTTCTAAAGTGTGTCTCAAAATGTAGACGTATACATTTTGAGACACTTTCTAACTATAAAATCTGTGGTGTTGTTGTTTCCCATACAATATTGGATAACGACTCAATATATGATTTTACCCTGGCATTCAGTAAGCGGTCTCTAGTCACTAATAGTGACTTTTGGTGTTGAACTTGGATTTTGAGACTATTTGGTATTCAGTACGCTGTTTCACGTCTCTAGTCTCAAGAATAAGTCACTAATTTGTCAGCTGGCTAAGAGCCGGTCACAAAAATAGAAGTATGGAGGAAAAACTTATTTTTTTTTCCATTTTATTAAAAAAAAAAAACACGCGAAAATGGAGCAAGGAAATTTGTTCAACAAGAATTTCACTAGGACATAAACCAAAATGCTTTAATATCATACAAATGAATTGAAAAAAAATTATTATTTTTTTTAACATTAAAATCTAAAGATTGTTAAAAAAAATAAAAAAATACTGAATTAAAAAGAAATAAAAAATCCTCCACGGCCGGGTTGGACTTGAACCCGGAANAAAGGCATACATAAACACTATCAGTTGATTGTCTGTGTTTGCTTTCATCACACATTTTTGGTGAACTTTTTGTGACTCCTTCTGAATACCCAAATCGTCTCAAGCCACAAAAATAGTCACTAATTGCTGATCTCAAATTTAGTGACTTGAGATGAGACTGAATTACTGAATCCCAGGGTTAAACGTATAAATTTTGCAATTGCGTAGCAGGGTTGCATTATGGCAACACCCAATCAGATTTTTTTTAATTTATTGGGGACGTTTTCCGTATTTGCATTTAATTTGAATGAAATACATTGCATTTAAATTTTTCAGAACAAAAATCGATTGGCGACATACAAAAAATTTACGAAAATAAGAAATGTCTGGCAACACCAGTAAAGTTTTACCAGGGTTTTGCGCAGACTGCCAAAAAGGAGTGATCACAGTTTGATGCTCAGAATGTAGACGTCTACATTTTGGGACACAATTTGGAACGGACGGTGAACTCCCCATATTTCCCTGTTTTATATACTCTAATTTAAAACATCTGAACATATCTCTTCAAATAGTAAAGCAGAACATGTCAAAGATATATTTATCATTCTGAGCAATCGCACTCATATTTTTTGAACACAACTGTACATGACTAGTCATTCTATAATAAGGGGTAATACAAAGAACACTCAGCAGCATAAATTCGACCCCGATAGTATAAATACAATCAACGAACTCTAAAACAACCTCCGCGATCAGACGTATTTTCTTTGTATGCCGCAACAAAGGAGCATTTTAAATGCAACAGGTAAGTTACTCAACAATGCCTTAAATTAATTATCAATCGTATATCGAATGACGGAAACATCTTTTTTGAGCCCTTGTGGGTTCCACTCATGCTTATTCCGAACTTAATTACTTTCGTTAATTTTTTTTCATATCGATAAGCTTAAAGTGTAATTTGTAAGGCTAATTATGACATGATACATATGTAGGTATGTTTCAGTTTAATAAGTTTTTTAACTTTCCTTCGAACGCGAATTTTTGAATTCTTTGTTTTCATTCTTTCCTTCGTACTAAAAACAAGCGGGCGATCACATATTTTACTTGCATAGAAGGGCAGACAAAAATAAAACTGATACAAGGTAGATGTGAATTTTGTATAAGATAAATGCCAGGAGCGCAATATACATACATATATTAGATATATTCATATGTACAGTTGTCCACAAAATAATAGGAGTGTGATATTTTGCCCAGTTTTGGCTATTTTTGCTTCCGGTTTTGTGATCCGTTCAGTTCCTTTGATTTTTGAGATTTTTTTTGGGGAAGGTGTTTGACGTTTTTTCCATAAGTATTTTCGACAATTTTCTTTAATATGGAAGACACTGTCAGCAAACAAATTTCCAAAAATCAACAGGATTTTTTAGCAGCTTGAAACTTGCACTTCATTTGACTAGAATTAAATAGTCACCAAAACTGCATACCATTTTTTTTCTCAAGGTTCTGATTAAAGAGTTTGAAATGTTGGTGAAAATTTGCAGAATTTTTCTAATTTTTCTGCACAAATATAAATCTGCATTCATTCGGTGTTTGTTGTATAATCAGCTCGACATTTATAAAAAAATGATAAACATTAAATAAACAAAATACAAATAGGAAAAACTTAACAAAATATCGCACTCCTATTATTTTGTGGAACACTGTATATATGTGATCATATATGTAGGTACAATGCATTTGTATGTAAAACTTTTCTTTCCTCTTTCTATGTTTTTGCATTTTTTTTCACAACAAAGCGAAAAATATAACCGATCTAGTATATTTACTATGTACAACTGGTACGTATAAACATAGTCTGCCAAGAAAAGAATTATCAAATTATAGAACAACAGATAATCGAAGCTAAAACGAAAGTGTGTGGTCGCAAAGATATGACTTTGCAAATTTGCAATTGTGTGACCATAAAAATGGTCAAACCAAGAAGCACGCAAAATACGACATTTAGTATCGCTGGGAATATCTACATACTTGGGGGTAGTTTATACTATATATCTATAATATATTGAAGTAGGCACATATATATACATATTTACACATGTATGTATGTATGCATTTATATAATGCATATGTTTTTCTACCCATAATTTCAGAATCGTAAAAAATATTGAGTGCACTATCTACTATAACAGTTAGAAGGCTTTTAATCTAGAATTAATTAGAAGAAGCGAATTGCGTCTATGTAAAATTGCAGTTTTCCAAAAATTGTACATATGCAATTGCACATATGGTGCACCTTCCCTATGTGCATATCTATTTGTCCATACGCTTTTTATTTCCATCCATACATATGTATGTACACTCATGTATACATATAAATATTCGCATTTGCGTATGCATTCGGACTACAACTCTAATT